AGCTAGTAGGAAGGTCAATTTACATTTATATATTTCTCTCTCTAACCTATACTCTAATCCTCACCAAAGTATTAAAAGATATGATTTCTCAGCAAGGATGACAAAAAGCAAAACTAAATATATTTAATTAAATCCAAGATGAGATCAGCCCTCCCTCTCCACATCTTGGATTCAAGTACAAAGTGCATAATAGATAGCTGCTGCAGCTGCCTCTGGCCCCGACCCAAGCTCAGGTTTAAAGCTGCAACCACCATCTGCCCCCAGGTGCCCCTGCCCCCACCTCTTTACCTATTGAATACTCCCCGCTGCCACCGCTTACCCTCAGTTAGGGCTCCAGCCCCTGCCTCAACTGGCCACAGCAGTGGTAGTAGTGGCAATCCTGGCTCCGGCTTCAGGGCTGGAGCCAGAGTCGCTGCAACTACCACCGCAACTGTTACTGCTAGGTTAGGCAGGGGCTGTAGCCAGCATTGTTCCAAACTGGAATGGAGCTGGACTCCCAACAGAGGGTAAGCAATGGCACCGGGGGGGAGACAGTGCAGAAGGTGGGGGCAAACGATTGTGGGGCTCCGGCTCCTGGCAGTAGACCAGGCAGAAGGAAGAGGAAGTGAATTTAAGACAATCCTCCAATAACTTGATTCTATATAAAGAAAAATTATAACAATTTTTTAAATTGTCCATGTTAGAATCAAATGATGGAAGGGTGGTTATCTTACATTCAAACTCAGCTTGAATTCGGGTAAATATTTATGAATTTCTACATCGTTAAAAATAATAACCAAAACAAAAATTAAGAATTTACTGGTAAAGCACAGCAGTTCTTCCACAATACTAAATCTTAATTTTTGGAGGCTTGTTTTTAACCAAGCCTCCCAGAAACACTGTCCTGGAATGAGCTACATGTAAAATTTTTAAGGAGACTGCGTTGTCTTTTTACTGGTACTTCAAACCCACTTGATTATAGATTACTGTAGTTTTCACTCACAATAGAAGGTTCAAGCCACTGCTAACCAAGTTACAACACTACATTAAGTAAATAATGAGATTATGAGAACTCTTAAATTACATTAGAAATTGGGACTACCAATTACCATTTTTATTGGAATAGAAGATGACCCTGAATATAAGACAACCCCCCCATAATTAGATTCAATATATGGAAAATTTATAAATTTGTTATAATTTTCCACGCATAGAATCTAATTATTGTAGGTTTGCCTTGAATATCTCCCCATTCCACTGCTACAGCAGGGAAAATATATCTTCTGGATCACATACACCCTTGCTCTCTGCCCCACCCAACTTCTTCCCCATGCAGCCCATTCCCCTCCTCCTTACTTTCAGACCCTGCTCTCCATGAGCACATGGAAATGAAAGGCAACTTTGAAAATACTGACCTTGAAATGAATATACCTAGTGTAATTTGCATATAACCAAATTATAACAGGAACCCATAGTTCATCCAGAATGGATGCATTTTACCTCTTTTGAAACTAATGCACATTTCAGCACAGGTACTCCATCCATAAACATACTTTAAAGCAGCACTTTTGTACTTATATATAGTACAAACTAGTACAAATAGTTGGTTTCTATTCATGATATTCATCCAGAATCAAAATCTCATGATCTATGGTACAGTTCATTGGGCTTAGCCCCAGCAGAGTCAACAGCATTTTAAGCCATGGTGATCCTACAGCTCAGTGCTGTACAGTATGAGTGTATACTCCAGAACCCCCCAACCCCACCTCCAAAAGAAACTGCGCTAATTAGTTACCTACTCGTAACTGGATCCAGGTGTTCTTGTCATTAATCCTGGGATCCTTCAAAAAAATGTATGTACAGATGTGGTGCAGGACAACCTGGTCTGGCTCCACCTCATGGAGGATGGGGACCACTAACGATATGTCAGGCTGAGAATGGGGGAAACAGAGATATTCTGGATGAACTTGGGGCCTTGTTTGGTGAGGTTTGCCAGATACTTTGAATGAATGGCACTCATTGGAAATGGGAAATAAAGGCACAACTCAGCTGTGGGAGCAAAGAGGAAGTAAAAATGTATTAAATGTAGTGGCTCACTATGACTTGCAGAAGAGTCAGCACTGAGAGGGACTGCGCACAATGGGCACTACCATGCATCTTATTCAGATGGGTTGCTCTACCCTATCTTTGCGGTAGGTTCCCATCTGTATGTTTACCCAATATGGGCCATACATTTTATACTCATGCTCAGTGCTGGCTGCCTTTAATCAATTTCATAGTTGGTTTCTGTGTGAGCACAGAAGCAGTTTAATGAGAGACAATGTATTTAATGAGGGTTCCATGCATGTGAATATAAGACAAGGGGGTTTTCCCCCTATGCTGACTGGGGGGCAAGGGAAAACACTGACTTCTATTCAAGTAAATAAGGTACCTTGCAATCCAGGAACTGAAAGAGACACCTTGGAATATACAAAAGCTACAAATTCACTGGATACATTTACTATAATACACAAATGCACGTGGTTTTCTCAAAGAGTTGAGACCTATTACGTCATTTGCATGAGCAACTGCAATAAGCTATATATACCTCTAATACAGGTCCATAACACACTGTTTCTAAAGCAAGATAGCATTTCATTCTCTAGACACACAGTTGTGTGCATGAGTTCTATTTCTTTGACACTGTAGAATTTACCTTCTCACCTCAATTTCACTCACAGAACATAGGACAGATTCAAAAGCAGGAATGTGTAGTTAACCATGAAGTACTGAACCACATAACCTCCTACCTCCTCCAGTCTAAAAATCTCCATTCCCATTTACCCAAATTTCCCTTTTGCATATCATTGCATGTGCCACGTAAGGGCCGGTGGACAGACATTATTTCTGTAATGCTATGAAATCTGTAGAACCACACGAAAAAAGTGACATGGGCAGCTACGCATTCAAAGCCCTTTGTATGCAGTATGACAAAATTGCCACAAAGGCACACTTTTCAGTCACGGGATGATAGGAGACTACTTTTTGGTTTCCTCCACCCTTGAGGCTCACTGACATGCTTGCATGATCAGCTGTTGCTGCCATGGAAACAGCTGATGGAAACCAGGACTGCCCTTGGGGCTTTTAGAGTGTCTGCAGACTTTTAGGACACCTACTTCGACACACTGTCAATATAGCACATTGGAGCAGACTCAGATAATCAAGTCTGTTGGCGGTGTCTCCTGTATTCAGCCTCTCTGTGCTTCAAAATGGCAGTAGGGGCACTTTAAAAGTAAAGCTTCTTGAACAAGCTTTAGTTAAAGGGCCCCCCACCACCATTTTGAAGCAAGGGATGCTGAATACACGAGATGCTGTGGCTGCCTTAACTAAAGCGGCTCCCAAGAGTTGCTATAATTAAAGTGCCACCTCCTATCCCTGGAGCACGTGTAAAGACACCCTTAAAAAGTTTTGGGCCAACAAGGAGGTCTCCTCCACGTGATCAGACCTTGCTTGTGCTGTGCTACCAACTACCACCACCACTGCTACAGCACTGGCAATAGCTATTGCTATAGAAGCAGCAGTAGGTACTGGCAAAGCAGGAACACTATTAAAATTTAAAGTTCCTGGTGCTTTAAAGCATTTTCATCCTCTCATTCAGGCCTACAAACCTGTTATTGCTTGTTGTGAAGACTGACAAAGCAAAACAGCAACCCCCCTGCAAAGAAGCTGCTTGTTGAAAAAAGTAACCTTGTGCACAGAAGCATCCCATGACAATTTTAACATCTGCACAGTTACGTGGACCATCAAGCTTCCCCCACACCTCCACTCTCCCTCCCTCTCTCCTCCCCTCCTTACAAAAGGGAGGAAGAGTGGGATAGCTATATCACTGCCTGGTGCAGTGAGCAGTGAGAGCTCTATAGGTATTCTCCCTGCCAGAGAGCTGGTTCTCTAGCAGAGACAGCAACACCTGGAGCTGGTAACGCACCAATCCCATTGAAGTTTAGCTCTCAGTGCACCAAGAAGTAATATATTTAAGTAGTGTTAAAATATCACCATTAAAATGCAGTTACCTTGCAAATATTATTTAAAAGTATAATCAAGCTAAATGCATGATATAAAATTCCAACCTAATGTAAATAGCAGTGGTTACCCTGTTTTACTTTTACAATATATATAGTGAATAAATGCATCAAGTTTAGATTGTGTTTTAAAAAGTATGTTGCTATAAATGACATCTTATTTCAGAGTACCTATTTGCATATCAGTTATGTCATAAAAATAATTGGCCTATACCCATATACAGAGGCACAGTTGAGGTGGCATCATTTTTCCACACTGAAAATGCATTTTATTGATCCATTTCACTTTACTCATATACTGTTTTTCTTTGTTGGTATATTTTCTTTAAATGTTTTGAAAAGTAGACAAATACAAAATTCCATAGATCCCATCAGCTACAGCAAAACAGGCACTGTAAGGTTCAGGGAGGGGTGAGGATACACCTTGGTTACCACCTTTCACCCAGCCATATTCCAGTTTCCCTTTGGATGCAAGATCACCAGAATAAATCAGGGGAATAAGAAATTGTAGATGGGTTTGTTAAACTCAATCATGCAGATGAAGCACCCACTTACTACTTGCCACTGGATCACTAGGCAAATTTTTCCTCCATATAAGCTACAGTAACTTCCTACTAAATCCGACGTGTGGATAAATACCATCCCCTCAAGGTCATAAAGAAATCACAGAGCCTGACAACTACATAACTGGTTCCAGAAGAGCAGACATATAATCCAAAAGCAGTAACATTTAGCAACATGTGGATAACTGGCCCAATGAAATAACAGCTCCTCCAATGAAATAACAGATCATTTTTGCTCCACTAGAATGTTGTTATTGTATACTGAAGAGCTACAGCAGCACAACACTTCAGATTGGTGATATAAATTGGTGGAGGATAAGCAAAGAAACTCATTTGCTCCTATAGACACCATATTTCTACACTCAGTAAGAAAATAATGACACCATCAGCACAAAGATAGTCTTCTGTTTTTTATTGCAGCCAAACATTAAAACGGATTAAATATACATTATTTTTAAATCCCCTTGTCCTTGCCCAGCTTGGCACAATTTTGTAAACATGAAGGTCATAAAAATCACATACTTAATTACAAAGAGTTTAAAATTTGATCACAGCATAACACAACCTCACAGTCCCATAATTCTATAGACAAACTGCCATTTCATACAAAAACGCAGTGAAGTTTATATCCTCCTTTCACCAGTTTTAATTTTTTCTCCCAAGCTTCCCTATAAAATATGGCTTTGTAAAAAAGTATTGCTCTGCAATTCACACTCAGAAGTAATTCTACTCCAAAAAACATACCATATTCTGCCTCAACCTACATCACAGTTTAAGAGGATTATTGCTTTCCTGTAAAGTGTAAAGAAACCACTTTGGGGCATATTTTACCCTTGTTCTGCACATGGAATTCTCAGCCTTCTGAGCTGGAATTCCAAACAAGAAACAAGCACCTAATATGTCCCTTTCATGGTAAATGTATGCAAGTAAAATCCTAGTCTCAAAACAGTGTTAAAGGTATTTTTAAAAATTTCCCTGTCAACTAAGATGCAACCACTGTTAGGGTTACTTTGATGCCTCTCTTTAAAAGAAAGTATATTTTCTTTTTTCTAGTTCTTGTATCAGACTTTGCAATTTTTTTTAAATCACAGCAACTATTCCTGAGCCAAAAAGGAACACAAAAAAGCCTACGAGTAAGAAGATGTCTCTACAACTGTATCAGCAGCATGCAACAGGTAGACAAAATACCTGCTATATTAAAATTCAATGTAATTAAAAAAAACTAAATTAAAATAATTTGACTATTTTAAAATATTTTTTAGAGTTGCAATATTCTTACATTTTAACTTGCATTTTTAGATGCATTTAATCTTATTCTGGCTTCACTTATGAAGCATGTATTTATGCAGAATTGCTGTTTCCAACAGTTTACTGTGTGAATTCTAATTCAATATACTAATTCCAAGTATGATAACATCAGTCCTTTGGGCAAAATAAAAGTGCGTCTTAGTAAGCCCAAAACTGATTTTAATTACATAGCTACGTGCCTGTCGACACTGAGCCTTCCCGACAGGTTGTTATGAAGTCTTCAGTTTTCCTTGTTTTAAAAATCAAATGTGCATAAAATAAGCAATGCTAATTTGCACATAAAAAACTTCTAGAAAAGTAATTTAGTAACCTGTCTGAATACAGCTAAGAATTAAATTAAATGTTTTATAAACTGTAAAATTATTTTAAGTGATTTGAGGCTCACGTAGTGTAACTTGACATAGTATCAGTGCACAACAGATGCAACTCAAACGTCATAGCTCAATGCCTCTACTTAGTGTTTCTAAAATGCAACAAAAGTTCATGTTACATTAACAGTAACAAAAAGTTTAAAATTCATGGTCATATTTCTATATTTTGTTTGCCCAAATTGCTCCCAAACTTTATGTACCCACAACATAAAGATATATATTATTATAATCTGAAAAAAAAACAATTGTATCTACATAACAAATACCTTAACAAATTGCTTGGAAAGGACATGTAAAATGTAGGTCAAACGCATAGCTCTGTCACAAACAGGGAAGAAAGAGAAATAAAACCAATGAATGTACTACACTTGACAAAAATTAGACAAGAATGTAAATTCAAAACATCTAAGTGTTAAAAAAGTGTACTAAAATGACCATTGGCTACAATCCATTTACAATATCTTAGTGTTCACCCCCCAAAATCCTGAACTGCTCAATAATTTCATCATGAGATCTAGTACAACCATCTGCTCCCCTTGTGTAGCGTATTGATTAGGGCTGGTCCTCCTGATGTAGGGAGAGTCTTTTTGAAGCTTTATGTATCTGAAAAAATAAGGGGAAATCTATATTAAAGGACCAACCAAGACACATTCCTTTTTAAAAAAAAAAAATCAACTTTAAATGCTAAAAAAGGCAACTTTGTAAAAGACTTGCTAATTTGGAGAAAGCTACCATTTCTGGCAATATACTTAAAGAATAAACACAAAGTTGCTGTGGGAGATAGAAAATTTTCATACTAATCTAAACAGTATATACTTTAAGTATATGGTATTTAAAGTAACTGGTCATGGGAACTGGGGTCACATCACAAATACAAGAATGGAAGAACAGAACTGGGTACCAAAGAAAGTCTGTAACAAAAGATTCTGTATACACATGGGATTTGAACCATTCATTATGCTGAATCTGAATCTACAAACATGACACCCACCCACAGAAGAATATATATATATATTTTTAAATCAGATGTAATATTAAGATCTGGAAAACTCAAGGAGGTTTAGCACAGGTAGAAATTCACAACAGTGGTACCCCAAAACACAAACACTGTCTCCACTGAACCCTGCCTTGAAACACTCCTAGGTCTTTGGTCTTGGGCACGCATTCATTTGCAGCCCTACAAAAAAACAGAGGCTTTGGAGGTATACACATACGCAGAGCCCCCTGGCTGTAGCACTACAAAGTCTCTGTAAAGGCATACTCTCCAGACAGGGGGTGACGAGTGCTGTTCCTTTGCTCCCTCTGCCCCCAGGGGAGGCTGTCAGTAAGCCCAATCATTGACAGCCCGCTCTCTCCTGCAATGGGAAACTGGGACAGGCTGCTGTGAGCAGCTGGCAGATGCTGTTCCAGTCTGCTACTCCCAAACCAGAGAAGCAGTCAAAGACAACACTCCTCCGCCCCAGCCTCCCAAAAGATGCTACTCTTCTCACACCCTGCCACCCGTGCAGGCAGGGTGGGAAGTTGGAGGTTGGGAGGAGGACTGTGTTTGACAGCTGCTGATGCTCCTGGCAGGGTACAGGGCAGGCTGTATTTGACAGCTGCTGTTTCAGGACCCAGACTGGGAGCAGCAGCTATCAAGACAGCAGAGGCTCTGAGACAGCTTGCTGAAGTAAGCAAGGCCACAGCACTAGGTCCTGGCAGGGCTGCAGAAATATTTCCCACAAGCTGTCAAGGAGTCAGACTCTCTCACCCTTTCCCCCTTGGGAAATGTGATGGGGGGAGGGAAAGAAGAAAGGAGAGGAATACTTTGGGATGCTGGGGTATAAAGAGGCCCCCTGCAGCACTACATCACTCTTTGCAAGTTAAGTGTAGTGCTAAAAAACAGTGCTATGGAGAAACTTCTGTTTCCGAAAGGAAACTCTTTGAGTCACCCTGAACACTAGAGGCACATCTAGATGCGTGTGGACGTTTGGTTCCCTGTCAACAAGAAGCTGTGGCTGGCCAGCAGCTCTGGACAGCCTAGCTCCACTTTTCTTCAGGTTTTTTTACCACTTTTTTTTTTTGACCCCTGGATATCAAAAAATCCCATGGGGAAAAAAAAACCAAACAAAAAACAGAGCAGCGCATGCTCAGGCAGCCCTTGCAGCCCCGAGAACACTAGACTGTGCAGTATGTAGCGCCACAAATGTGTTTGCGGTACCACGTACTGCATGACCGTAATTGTCTGAACATGCTCTAGGCTTTGTCAAGTATCATATTATAACATCTACTGAGCCCTTACTGTGGACAGAGTTATACTACTATACAGTAGTTATACTACTATACAGTTCATATTGGTACTACTTATTCATTAAATATGAGAAACAAGAGCTTAAAGATATGCACAGTTGCAAATGCCCACTAATTGAACAAATGATTTAGGAGAACATGGCTAAGATAGGGACCTGGTGCAAGTGTTAAAAAAGGATTTCTAGGTAGACAGTCTGGAGCAATGTGAATATATAATGCAGTTAAATATGGTACAGTTTACTGAGGCTACATATCATGTAGTCACTGAACTTGTACAGTACATGCAGGTTTTTAATTCTGCATAGCGGCGGTTCCCAAACTGTGACAGTTTGTGCACCATCAAATTGTAATTATACAACCTTAAGTACCACCAACAAACTTTTGTCATATAAAGTAATTACAATAAATCTGTTAACACGTACCACTGACAGGTGGTCTGTGTACCACTGGTGGTACCCGTACCACAGATTGGGAACTGCTCCTGTATCGAGTCTCAGGAAGATTGTGCCCTTCAGGCAGTTTCCCATCAAGTTTAAAAAATGTTTATTAATTACTCAATGAACTTTATGTCAGTTATTGGCCCTGTTATAATGGATATCCATAAAAAATTATTTGATGTAGTTTCCTGCTGAATCCTACTATTTAGCATGCTCTAAACATTATAATGCTCCTCCTCCACCCCCTCAATCCCCATAATGAAGCAGCTTCTCTGGCTGGTGCAATTTGGTGCAACTCCACTGGCCTTAATGGAACTACACTGATTTACCACAACTGATAACATAGCTTCTACATCTGCAGGCCAAATTACTGGTACTGAAATATGTTAGCAAAACCTCTGGAATCTTTCAGTTTTCCAGAATTCAATTCATATTTAGTGTGTGAACAATGTACCTTCCCCAAAACAGTTAAAGCACCAAAAGCAACTACTATATTGAACTGAATGGCTATTTCTGGTATGCATTAACCTAAATAGTGTACTAAAAAAATAGAGGATATTCACACTAGATGTGTGGATACACAAAGCAACTATACCTCTTTAAAAAGGAACTGGAGACTTTACCACAGTTTGAACAAGATTGCAGTAACTAATCTGTCTGTCCACAGCAATGTACCTCCTCATTTAATTCAGAGGTAAATTTGTTACTAGTTTACTACGCTTACTGTGGTAGGGCTAGTGTGTTATGTACCAAGAAATGTCTGTGTGGCAAGGGTTTTTATGGTACCTTTTACTGGAACAACTGTATAATTGAGAGAGATGGTGCACAAGCTTTCAAGCATCAAATGCCTTTCTTCAGGCTATAGAGAAGCAGACACAGGCTGGGCAAAATATTAGAGAACAAACTTCATGCAAAAACTCCACATGGGCATGGAGTCTTTTCTCTGATATTTTGCCCAGCCTGCAACTGCTTCCCTCCCAAACCTAAACAGAGCACTTGTTGCCTGAAAGCTTGTCCAATGGCTCTCCCAACTCTACAGTTGATCTAGGAAAAGATATCACAAAAATCCTTGCCTCTGACACTTGATGTGAATTAGCAGTGGGCAGCAAAAACAATTAGAACACTTCAGTTCAACTACACTAAGTCCCCCGATCTATTCAAAGTAATCATTTAATTTCAGTTTACCAACCAGAAGGATGTGGCCAGCCTTGAGAGGGTTCAGAGGAGGGCCACCTGCTCGGTTGGAGGGCAACAGGGCAGGCTGTATGAGGAGAGGCTGAGGGACCTGAACCTGTTCAGCCTCAGCAAGCGGAGGCTGAGGGGGGATTTGGTGGCTGCCTACAAACTCGTTAGGGGAGATCAGCAGCAAACAGGAAGGGCCCTATTCCCCCCAGGAGCACCTGGGGTGACGAGAAACAATGGCCAGAAGCTGCTGGAGAATAGGTTCAGGTTATAGATTAGGAGGCACTATTTCACTGTTAGTGTGGCTAGCATCTGGAACCAACTTCCTAAGAAAGTGGTCCTCGCTCCTACCTTGGGTAAATTCAAAAAGAGATTGGATGATCACCTGTCTGGGGTCGTGTGATCCCAGCGTGTGCTCTGGCCGGTGGCGGGGGGTTAGATTAGATGATCTATTCAGGTCCCTTTTGACCCCTAACTACTATGAAACTATAAAACCTAACAAAGAGAAAGCATTTTATGGCATCAAAGGAGAATACGCAGTTAACCAAAACAAATTGTTCCAGTGAATTGACAGGAGTGAATATTATATTTGAAGAGGGGGAAAGGCAAGCAAGAATTTCTTCTCCTGAGTGAAAGCTAGCACCTGAAAAAAGTAGCAAACTACTTATCTGAGCAAAATTTACTTTCCCAGTTATTAATTTGTAAAGACTACCGCTCCTTCCTCATGATGGTAGCTAAGAGAAAACTTCCACACAACTCACTCAAAAGCAAGGGTGAGGGAAGTACATGGAAGATGGAAGGGCAGGATGTCTGAAGCACAAGAAATAATCCAGTGTCAAGTGGAAGCACTAAACAGCAGGGAGCACAAAGTACAAAACAAGGGTAAATTGGGGGCAGGGGTGAAGTGGATATAAAAACAGGGAAAACTAGTTGTGTTTAAAGGAAATGTGGAAACAGATGGCAGTCAAATCAGGCCCCTTCATCTACTTATCTACATGCAAATCCCTTTGCAACAAGCTAGCTCTTCACAACTGCCACGAACACAAAATCCATTTCTACTGGCATGCACCATATTTCTGCTAATAAATTACATTTCTCAACCAGTCCCCCAGGCATCTTTATATTCACTATCAACTAACAGAATCTGGCCCTTACTGATTATGCTTAAAGTTTTCAGAATGTTCCTTCAATTTAATCTTGTAATGTTATAGGCTGATAATTAAAATACTATACTTAAAACAGGTATTTAGTTAAATAAGCATTATGTAATTAGAGCAAGATTCCTCCACCTTTACTGGAGTCTCTTCTAAATACACACAGAAAAAATACTTAAGATGTTTCTCATTTACATAATATATGCCCAGCGTAACAGCTTGTTGCATTTTTGCTCAGTTGACCATCATGTTGTTTTTCCACAAAGGAAGAATCCTCTACTAGGTATGGGTTGAAGCAATCTGCAAAGAATTTGGTAATACAACAGGTTCTAACCTATGCTAAATCCCACAAAAAGAGAAAAATATACTTATTTCCTCAAAGCCATTTTCCATCCGTTTCCCCACGTTCAGTTTGCAGAAGACCTACCACCACCCAGACAACTAGCCTTACAATTTGAGAACTGCCTTAAACATGCCAATTAAAGATACAAAAAAATCCTAAAAAAAAAAAATCACCAAGCAAATAATGTTGAGGAAATTT